CCACAATGAAATTTTTTGGAAATCTAATCTTTGACTAATGTGACTTCAATGATTATCCTTATATTAATATAGCTACCACTTTATTTTTACATAGTTCAAAGGTTACGATGGCTGCACAAGATATCTCAATTGAGGTTTTCAAAGATAACCTTCGCCACCTTCTTATGGCATCTCCCCTTCGCCAAGTTGATACTTTTAAGAGCTTGACTTCGAATTCTCTTGGTTTTAAGGAGCCAGCAAAGGATGTCACTAGTCAATATAATGTGTTAAGCAGTGAATCCATCTTTTCCTCCATCGCGGCTGCGCCTGGAGACCGGCTTCCATGCCTAGGCCTCGATCCTGGCTACAGAAACGGCTGCAAATGGGCTGTTTGTGATGCACATGGTGATCTTATAAAGGCTGGCGTTATCTTCCCGAACTCGGAAAACAGGCAACTTCAAGATTCATCGTACTACAAGGGATACTCTAATGAAAACATCCACTGGAGTTCAAAGAGGGATCTTAATCTGGAGGAGATGCTTTGCACCATGCGGCGCCATTGGTATGCTAGCACTAATTATACTATTTACTTTTGTTTGGATGTGGTTATTGGTGTGATAATATATTTTAAAGGATGGCCATAGTCGGAAATCTCCTTGCTCGTCAAGCCTTATCAAACGGATTTTTCATTTCACCCTCATATAGTGTAACAACAATCGCCTTAGGCAATGGAATAGGCAGCCGGCCAACTAGCAAATGGCTCTCCTCCAGCATAAAGCAAGGCCTTTTTTGTCCGCTAGAGGTTCGTTTTACAATTGTTAGCGAGGCAGGAGCTTCGATATATAGTGCTTTGCCCCTTGCTGATCGGGAATTGCCTGATGTGGACGTCTCACTACGTGGTGCTGTCAGCTTGGCTCGTCGATTACAGGATCCACTTGCTGAGCTTGTCAAGATTCCACCTCAGCATCTTGGAGTCGGGCAATATCAGCACGACTTGCCTCAAAAGTAAGCATGCATTTCGATGCGTTCTACAATAAATGTCCATATTTTCTAGCTTGTTTGGAACAAAAGCTTGAAATCAGCCCCAACATAGTATAAAAGTGCTGTAATGTCTTCTCGGTATATAATAAGATAACAATTGTAAGAGTATTCATTTCGAGTGAAAGGGAATTAAGTCATAGATACATGCCACAAGAAGACGATCGTTGGTTTCCATTGATGTGCAGTCCTTGGTTTTGCTAAGAAGTTATAGTTGGCGTAATATACTAGGCATTCTCTTTCGGTCAGAGTGAAACAGACTGAGCTTTCATTTTTCATTTACACACTTACTCAGAGCTGGGTTAATTCCTAAAAATAATTTGTGCCTGAATTAATTCAAGAGAATTGATTAGCTCTACCATACGTGCCATAATT